AAAAGTAATATTAAGACTCGACTGTACACTGTGTTCCTGTTTTCCTCCGAAACAATAAGTTCCGTTGGAGCAGCCTTTCAACGCCTCTCTCTGTCTCTCGCTAGCAAAGTTGACCCAGACAACAAAGTAAAGCTAGTTTTCAGCTACGAGCCCGACACGGAACCCGACGTATTAGCCAGAGGTCCCTTTACTACGGTTCGGAGCCGCGGACCTGTTTTATATACGTGTGGAATAGTTTTCTATACGAGATCGCTGCAAAAAGTGCAGCCTTACCTAATGTCCACCCTACTGTTACTCATTTATATTAAGATTTTAAAATGTAGTCAGTATTGGTATGGCGAGTAACCTTCAGTAAAAGTCATAATTCACACAGCAATAGTACATTCATGTAGTTGTAAAAGGCATGCTAGTATTATAGGTAATCCAAAGTATTCAGAATTCATTACTGTCATTGAGTAACGTAATGGAATACATTACAAAATACATTCTGGGGCATGTAATCTGTAGTGGAATACATTTTAAAAGTAACCGTCCCAACAATGTGTGTGGGTAACGTTCACACAGTAATGACGGCCTCAGGTGATCAGGAGAAACTCACCTGGATTTCCTTTTTCCACAGCAGACTGAGAGCTGCAGGTGGAACTGAAGGAGGTCTCAGACAGAGGTTGTAACTTCAGTACACATACTACTGTTAAAGGACTGAATACACTCCCCATACCAGCAAAGGCAAAAATACACATGTTCTGTACTAAAGTGCTGTAGTAGAATTTGAAGTACTGATTCAACTTCTTTACTCAAGTAAAAGTACTGAAATGTACTCGGAGAAAGAAAGTAAAAGCTGTTTGCAGGATGTTTCTACTTTAGTTCAGAGCTCACTGAACCTTGTGCTATATTAATAGCTCCAGTAGATTTTCGTAGTGTGATCAGGTGACCTGCTGCTCTCTGTGGATGGACACACCTGAATCTAACCAGATGTGAGCAGATGTTTCATGAGTTGTCCTGATTTCATCCTCCACACTGACAGTACACAGTTTATGCTGTCTTTATATTAGACACTATACAACCATCATCAGCTAAGTCATCTGAATCTCTGCTACACATGAAGGTCAAAATGATCATGAGAACGGTGAGCAAAGATCCCAGAACCACACGGGGGGACCTGGTGAATGACCTGCAGAGAGCTGGGACCAAAGTAACAAAGGTCACCATCAGTAACACACTACAACGGCAGGGAATCAAATCCCGCAGTGCCAGACGTGTTCCGCTGCTGAAGCCAGTGCATGTCCAGGCCCGTCTGAAGTTTGCCAGAGAGCACATGGATGATACAGCAGAGGATTGGGAGAATGTCATGTGGTCAGATGAAACCAAAGTAGAACTTTTTGGTATAAACTCAACTCGTCGTGTTTGGAGGAAGAAGAATACTGAGTTGCATCCCAAGAACACCATACCTACTGTGAAGCATGGGGGTGGAAACATCATGCTATGGGGCTGTTTTTCTGCCAAGGGGACAGGACGACTGATCCGTGTTAAGGACAGAATGAATGGGGCCATGTATCGTGAGATTTTGAGCCAAAACCTCCTTCCATCAGTGAGAACTTTGAAGATGAAACGAGGCTGGGTCTTCCAACATGACAATGATCCAAAACACACCGCCCGGGCAACAAAGGAGTGGCTCCGTAAGAAGCATTTGAAAGTCCTGGAGTGGCCTAGCCAGTCTCCAGACCTCAACCCCATAGAAAATCTGTGGCGGGAGTTGAAAGTCCGTGTTGCTCGGCGACAGCCCCAAAACATCACTGCTCTCGAGAAGATCTGCATGGAGGAATGGGCCAAAATACCAGCTACTGTGTGTGCAAACCTGGTAAAGACCTATAGTAAACGTTTGACCTCTGTTATTGCCAACAAAGGTTATGTTACAAAGTATTGAGTTGTATTTTTGTTATTGACCAAATACTTATTTTCCACCCTGATTTACGAATAAATTCTTTACAAATCCTACCATGTGGATTCATGGATTTTTTTTTTCACATTCTGTCTCTCACAGTTGAAGTGTACCTCTGGTGCAAATTACTGACCTCTGTCATCATTTTAGGTGGGGGAACTTGCACAATCGGTGGCTGACTAAATACTTTTTTGCCCCACTGTACATCTGTGTAGCTTTAGTCTTTCCTTATGAGATTGTAGATTAAAATATAATGCAACCCTTTTGATGCATAATCAACGTATTCATCGGACTCAGAGAGCTCCGGCTCAGCTGAGCTTCTCTGCTTCTTCTTGGGGTGTCGGGAAGGTCGACTGGGCCGCTCCTGACACATCCCGTCTTTTTCCATGGTCAGAGAGGGCTGCAGAAGGAAGTGAAACATCTTTAGTGTACAGAAAAATGCAGATTTTAAGGCAGCTGACACCACAGACATACTTAATCCAATATGGTTTCTTGTTGTTTGTCAGTGTTTCCATAGCTACACCTCCCTAAAACCACCTCACTTGTCAATAAGGTCAAGGTCAAGGTCAAATCTATTTATGTAGCACATTTCAAACAGCCGATGCTGCACAAAGTCCTTAACAATATAAAAATGCATTAAAAAGCAAGAATGTAATACAATAATAACAATATAAAACAATAATAGGACAATAACTAAAACTATTTAAAATAAGACCAGAATGCTTGGGTCATAGTGTGTTAAAAGCCAGGGCATAAAAGTAGTGATTTAAATTGCTCAAGTGTTTGTGCAGATCTAATATTTAGGGGGAGACTATTCCAGAGTCTGGGACCTGTCACAGAGAAGGATCTATCACCACGAGATTGGAGACAAGTCCGTGGGATGGACAGCATTCATTTTGAGCTAGACCTCGTGGTTTTTCCTGGAGCATAAACAGAGAGGAGCTCAGACAGGTAAGGAGGGGCTCGGGCATTAAGTGACTTAAAAACAAAAAGTAAAAGTTTAAATTGGATCCTGTAGGAGACAGGAAGCCAGTGTAAAGAAGCTAAAACTGGGGTTATATGCTCTCTCCGTTTGGTACCAGTTAGCAGGCGAGCAGCTGCATTTTGGACCATCTGAAGACGATGGATGGTGGCCTGGTCTAGACCATAATACAATGAATCGTTTTTGGTCTGTGGTGTCAGAAATCCAGAATTTTATTCTAACCTGCACAATGCTGATAGATGAATCATCCTTTGACAAATTTTCCTGAAGTTCATCAAACTCGTCGATTCTCACAGACACCACCTGTAGGCATATAGGAGAAGGACAGCATTTCAGGTCGAGTCTGCCTTTAGGGTGCTGTAATATGGGTTGTTTCCTCTCAGGTCTGACCCCACTCACCTCGGGATGTTTGCGTCGCAGGTGTCGGTTCATAGAAGCGCGAGTGGACACCTTTGTCCCGCAGAGGTGACACGACTGGGCCTCTACCTTTTCATGGGTCAGGTGGACGTGCTTCTGCAGCATGTACTCTGTCAGATATTTCTTATCGCATGTGGGACATGTCCACGTCTTACCCACTGCAGCAGCCGAGAAGGAGAGGAGGTCAGCTCAACAGCATCACTTAGTATGAAGCCCCAAATTAAACTCTATCATATTCAATGTTGTGTGTAATGCACTCCAAAGCATCTTTGCTTTGTGTTGTTGGATTTGTGTTCATACATATGAAAGATCACATGTGTGTTCTGACTTTGATAGGGATATATGTTGGTGTGTAGAACAGCAGAACTGGTAATTATGTGAATGTGTTTCAGGTCAATTTATGGAGCAAAAGTAATGTACTGAATAGTGTAACAAATGATTTACTCCATCACAATTTTGCTCAATAATGTATTAATCTCAGTTGCTAAATCTCCAAGTCCTTCCCTGTCTTATTAAACTTTTGTTTAAGAAAGAAGACACATTTTCCTAAAAATTGTTTGTAACTTTGCTTCATAGTTCATGCTTCATACTATTCTGACTGGCTGCATCACCACCTGGTACGGCAGCTGTAATGCTCTGGACCACAAAGCTCTGCAGAGGGTGGTGAGGACAGCACAGCCATGCAGGATCTCTACAGACAGCGCTGCATGAGGAAGACTATGCGCATCCTCTCCGATCCCAGCCACAGACTTTTCTCACTCCTGCCATCCGGCAGGCGGTTCAGGAGCATTCAGACCCACGCTAGCAGACACAGAGACAGTTTCTACCCACAAGCCACCAGGCTTTTGAGCTGCTGACGTTCTGCACGCACCATTACACACTCACTACAACTACAGGACTCTAGACACTGTCACTTAAATGCTTATTGCACAAGTTTTGCACAACATGTAAATACCAACTTGCCCTAACTTTTAAATATTTAGAGAATTTTTTCTCTCTCTTTTTCTCTTTTATCATTATTATTATTACTGCTATTTTCTGCTATTCCCTTCTTAATATAACAGCACACTTTCTACATGTTCATGTAAAGCTGAGGAGCACGAGCCAAAGAATTTCATTATGGGTAAATGTGGCTACACTCTTTCTCTGGACATGAACTCAATAGAACGCGAAACTACTGCTTAGTTAGCTAACATTACGCTAGTATTTGTCTCAGTCCAAAAATAGCAGGCGTTTACATGAAAGGATACAACATGCTTCTTAAATCATCAGGTCCTGGCAGCAGCTGCATGTCACGGGCTTTTTGACAAGTTTACTTTTGGACCAAACTGCATGGCCATCGGGCATACCGGGCATACAGATGGTGATTTTTCGTTTTTATGGGCCGATGGGTTTTTTTTGTTGTTGTTTTTTTCCATAACGGTATAAACACTGCACATGTGTCCAGGCTAACTGGGAACATTCCCGCGTCAATCAAGTCAAACTTCTGTTATTGCGAAGCTAGCCGCTCACAATGGTGGAGAGAAAAGTTGATTCTGAAAGCAGAGCCTTTCAGCGCCAGTGGGTGACTGAATATATGTTTACAGACATTGCTGGTAAACCCGTGTGTCTTATTAGTGGAGCTAATGTGGCTGTAATTAAGGAATTTAATTTAAGACGGCACTACGAGACAAAACGTCAGGATAAGCTGAAAAACCTAAATGCAGAGCAGAAACTACAGAAAGTAGAAGAGCTAAAGAAGAATCTGACATTTCAGCAGACTTTTTTCACCAGAGCAAAATCACAAAGTGAAGCTGTTGTGAAAGCAAGTTTTATTGTAGCAGAGGAGCCAAATCAGCCCGGTACCACTCTGAAGAGCTGCATGATGAAGCTGTGCGACGTCTTGTGTCCAGACAAAACGCAGATTTTGGCAAATGTGAGCCTGAGCAGAAATACGATTGCTGATCGGGTTTGTGAGATGGCCACTGATTTAAGAACACAGTTGTGTGAAAGAAGCAAAAACTTTATTGCATACTCTCTTGCTGTGGATGAAAGTACAGACATGATGGACATTGCACAGCTGGCCATCTTCATCCGTGGAGAGGAAATATTGAACATTAAATCGATGCACGGGACAACGACAGGAAAAGACATTTTTTAAAACGTATGTCAAAGTGTAACCGACATGAAACTGCCCTGGGACAAACCTGTGGACTTACAACAGATGGAGCGCCGGTGTTGTGTGGTGGAAAAAAGCGGACTAGTCAGCACGTTAGTGCAGGATAAACAGGTTAGTTTGCTGTGATGGTTTAAAGTAAAGAACAGTGTGTGAATGCTGCTACACA